CCAAACGAAACCGATTTACACCGCGACGATATAGTTCTTAGTAGCTGCAGTCCAGCTGCTGGTCTTACCATTGGCCAGAGGTAAGTCCAGTATTGGCAAAATAATGTTTATCTTATTAAACCCGAGTTTGTTGTCGATGAGCTTGATCGAGCAATCTTGGCTCAAGTTGCGATGATGCGTTCATAGCCTAGCGATCGAGAGTAATACCTTACGTGAGGGAAGGTTATGGTGTCGGTGGAGATAAGTTGTCGCGATTAATTAACAAACAAGTTGTGCGGCACAAAGCACAACTTTCTTGAATGGCTCGCAGGCGTGATTCGAGCTCTTGTTAGTGTCGATCCTTATGGATCATAATTTGTGGTGGCGGCGTTTTTAAAACGTCGCTTCATCCCTCGCCGTTCATCGGCACATTAAATCTGAATGCATCCGATGGAACGATGATCGTTCCTTCTCCGGCATGTAATCACTTTTAGTGATTCACTAACATCCGGATGTTAGTGAATCACTAATAGCACGCACGCAGATTCCGCGTCCCAAAGTACACGTTTTCGCCTTTCTCCGTCCACGCAAAACCCCCCAGTCGAACAGAGTTTCATGACAGAGAGCCGACCAGCTAAACAGATATCGACGAGTTCGTTTTTTTATGAGCGAAAACTGGTGTGGAAGACTCAGTCCGACAAACGCTCCATACGTAGCCACCAAACTGTCTTAGACCAGCGTAGTTGACTGCATTCACGTTCCTACTGCAAGCTGTCGTAGTAACGTCCAAACCGACACTGACCTAGTTTCCCAGTGTGGCACACTGAGCGTGCGGCAGCCCGCCAGAGTGGCAATGATTCTCGTGATCCATTCTCTCGGAGAAGATCTCTCCGAAAAGTCGGTCGATCTAGGAAATACTGCCGAAACAAATTCACTGTGAAGGTTCCAAAGCTGGGGACAACTGAGCTCACACGTTCCCAGTTCATGCGTGCTACTCGATGCTGATGGAGGACTTCAAAAACCGCGGAGACACTTCTTGATAACATCATCGAGAACAACACGAACAGCCTGAACTTCAGGCTTTGGAGTACAGGGCTTATGGTTTTCTCCTGTGGCCTCCTTCGGAAATACTTCCCGACCAGTGGTGTCCTTGTACATTCTGAGTTGGAATTTCCAACGTAGACTTGTGATTCCGAAGCCATATTACGGCATGTCAATGGTCTATCATTCATTCATCACAATCACCTGCATC